ACCTGGAGCTATTGCTTCCTGGTTGGGTGCTTTCTTTGTTTCTTCAAACAAAATGCAGGTAATGTTAAAACATATGCCTGATAGCCTGAGCGGAATTTAAAACTTAACGAGAATGAGTATACAAAAGCGAGCCATCCTTCCTATTAGGGGAAAGAGTTTACTATCAGGTAAGTCCCAGAGATATTGTCCCTCAGTGGTTTCACTCTGCTTAAGTAAGAGCCATCAAGCGGCTCAACTGGGTGGCTAAGGAAACTCCGTGGGCTGGGGGCCCTGCCTTCACCTCATGGAAGTCAAGGGCTAGGCAAGGCCAGTAAGTGGCTCTGTCCACTTCTCTCCAAGGAGTCAATGGGCCCCAATATGGAGAAAAAATACCTCAGGAGGCCCTTCTTCTGCACTTTCATGAAAGATGCTGGCTTCACTCTAAAGTTAGGACACAGATGTCGGTCTAACAAATGCTAGAGTCTTACAAGGGACACTTTGTTGGGACTCTCAGCTCTCCTCTTTCTACACGGGACATCATCTTAAGAAGCCAAGTCCCCATGAGCCATGGGAAACTCCTCGGATCTCACCACACAGACTGCACCAACTTCGCCTCTAGTCCATACTCTAAATGAATGGGAAAGGTTGATCTTGACAGTATAAACCAAGAACAGCTCACCTGCTGTTGCAACATGGTTTGGGTTCAGTATGAACTGGGAAATGGTGAGAGATGGGTACAGGATGGCACTTTTAATTATGAGACTATTCTCCAGTGACAGTGTTTTTGCATAAAACAAAAATGATGGCATGAAATCTCTTATGTTCAGGTTTCTGTGACTCTGTCAAAGGTAATGCACAGTAACTATGGTATTTGGGTGGTCCCTGAGGAGGAGGAGGCTATCTTAAATGACACTGTCCTGACACGACCATTTGTCTCTCAGGGAGATACAGGTTCCTATTATCTGATGAAGATAACCACACTAGGAGGCTTCGCTGACCTCCTCTTTACAATCCCCAGGCCAGCAAATCAGGTCCATCCCCTCTAAGTGACTCAGAAACCTAGTGCTCCAGAGGACCCCAGCATTCCTCAGCCCCGATCACGCTCCACACACCAATAAGCCCCATAGGTTGAACCCAAAGTAGTTATTCTTACTACTCTAATTCAAAAGTTATCCTGCCCCTAAGAGTGGGCCAGGGATGGAAGAGAATACTCTGTTTCAGGTCCCTTTTTCAGTTGCCAATGCCCAGTAATGCGATGAATAACTAAATCAACTCTCAGAAACACAGAGAAACCTACAAGAGGCTGGGAGCTATGCAGATGAGCAGTATGCTTTTAAAAGAGAGGCAAATCACCCTGGAGAGGCTATTCTCCCTTCAATAGAACCAAACAGACACTGCAGGACTAGTAGGGGACTAAAAATGATGTCTGATATGACAGCTGTTCTCGTGGGGATAAAAATGTGCATTAAATACTGTTCATTATGACAAAGTGAGTGGGTCACACAGGGCACAGAGGAACATCCAGCTGTTTGGAAGCATAACCAATTGATAGAAGTCTTTTGTAAATATACTAGTATAGTCATATCTTCCTGGGAGGGAGATGCACTAGTGGGACACCATTTCATTTGTCAGTTTCATTTGATATTTGGTATAAAGTACAAAAACTTCAGATGAGCACACAGACAGCCATGGCCCATGTGCTGAACACTGGTTTTTCTGTGTTCAACAAGCAGGAATCAGAAAGGGACAAAAGAGAAAAACTAAGATTATAGCTGGTGTGATTGGTAATACTCCAAATTCAGCCATGTCATCTAATGGAAAACATAGGGGTAACCTGAGAAAGAGTTCCTGTTTCAAGTGCAAGAGGACTGGTCACTGGGCATGAGACTGTACCTCTGCTTAGACTCTGTTCAAACTGTGAGGCAGCTAATGTGCCTCATGTATGGGTGGCATTGGAAGTTTGGTCTTCCCTGTGCCCAGACAGGGGCTAAGGCAGCCAAAACACTCATCTCCTGCTTCCACAACTAAAGAGACCCAGGGGAACCTGCAAGGCCACTGTCCGTGGACACCACCATCTCTTCTGAAAAGTCTGGGTAATCTTGGACGTCATGGGTGAGCAAATGGCTGACACAGGGACAGCTCATTCAGTTTTGACTTCTCTGGAAAACCCTCCACTAGGTCTTTAGCCAGAGTTGGGGTCTCCCTGATTGGAGATTCTTTACTCCTCTTCTGATGTATCATTTTGAAGGCAAATATGTAACTAAGAGCTTCTAATTGTCCCACAGTGTTCTACTCTTTTGCTAGAAAGAGATACTAGCAAAATTGGAGGCAATTTTCAAATTCCAGATAAGACCAAAGAGCTTTTACTTGGGATTACACCAGGCCTACCTGACCAAGTTACACAACAGATAGATCCTCCTGCCTGGTATAATGAAATACCTGGTAGGGAAAATTCAGCTATGCTAGTAGTTATAAGACTAAAAGACCCCAGCCAATTTCCTGAGAGCAGTGTACAATCCAAGAAGAGGCACATAAAGAGCTCTAGCCTCTCATAGACCAACCATGAATTATCTAACTAAAAAAATGTACAAATTCTCAAATTTCTAGCTAAGAAGGAATATAAAATCTCTAAAGAAAAGATGCGGATATTCCTCCAAAACATTTACAAACTAGGTATGTTCTTACACCTGGGGAATGATAACTACCTAGGGACAAGACCCAGGCTATCTGTGGCTGACAGTGTCTTTCTTAGACAAAGCTACTTCTATCAGTGAACCACACACATCTCGCCAGGGTCTTGGAGGGACAGGTCACTGATGTCCTGCTTACTTGCATAGATCTGAGAAATCACTTGTTCACAAGAGTGGCTAACTTGTGGGCCTGTAGGCATCAGAGAGATAGGATTAGGAGTGGTGCAAGTTTATACTAATCTCAGTGGTGTCTACAAGCATGGCCTGGTACTTCTCGGTAAGCCATTTTCCTGTTAGCCACAAGTAACCTTTTGTCTCTGGAATAGCTCTGACCTGATGGGGTATCTTCTAGTCCCTGTCCTAGAGTTAACTTTATAGCTTTCTTCACATGCACAGCTCTGGCTGCTACTGCTCTCAGGCATGGTGGTCATCTAGCAGTCACTCCATCTAACTTGTTTGAAATGTATACCCGGAGTAAGGTTCCTGTCTTAGCCTTTGGGTCAAGATCCCAAAGCAATTCCTCTCTTTTCAATGCATAGAGAACAGGTATTCCCAGTCCTGCAGCCTACATTTCTATAAAAGACATTGCCAGTCACTTATGTCCACTCTAGGGGAACAGACTCCTCGCCTCTGACAGCCTCATATAGTCTTTGCCATTAGAGTCCAAAATTCGGCAGCCACATCCTACAAATGCCAACCATTTGCAAGAAAGAATGAAGCTGTTCTTTGGTGGCTGATCACAAGGGATTAAGTGATTCCAGGACACACATGCCAAATGATTCTCAGGACCCTGTATATATAGTTCTCATGGGTTCCTGCGATATGTGGAGTAAGTAAAAGGAGAGGACACCACTGAAATCGCACAACCGTAGTTTTCCTCATGATAGCCTGCCTTGTGGCCAGAATGTACTTTTGTTTTGGTTTGGTTTTTATTTTTTCCTTGGCTTGATTGCTCTGCAGAATCAGTTTCTCCCTTATTCTTCACTTTTAATTTTTCAAATAAACTTCGCCACTACTTCTGCTTGTTTTGTTCAATTCTTGTTGAAGACAGAAAGAACTGGAGACCAGCTCCAGAAGGAGGCTCCAGTACCCCCAGAACCAGCTTATAATATCATATGCTCAGGTACACAACTGGAAAAATAGGCCCCTAGATTGCTCAAATACCTTTTTGTCTCTCTCTTTTCAAGAATCAAATGCATTTCCAGGAGTTTCCAATTTCCCCATTTTGGCTTCAGCTGAAGACTACTAGCTAGTCCTTTCCCTGAATCAACTACTCTGATCTACTTCCTGAGGAACTGCTTCTATGTCTGTCACAGCCTATGACTTAAGAACTACTCCCAGTTTCTTAAACTCTCCATTTAGAACCAAAAGAAATACTATGTTCACTTCACACTTTGATTTAGTGCCAAATAAATGATGTGCTGTAACAAAAGCAAAAAATCTACTCATTATCTGTCCACATCACCTGTATTTCTAATATTCATTCTATAAAACAACTCCTCTCTAGGAATTAGCACATTCCCAGTAGCTATTTCCCTTGTTTTTTAAATTTCATCATGTAAAGTATATATAGTGTTTAAGCTCCCCTTGTCATTTCACTGACACTAAAATCCCCTAAAATCATCTCAGTGAAATTCCACTATCTCACAGCCAAGGAATCCATGAATGCTTTGGTAATAATGTAGCTAAAGCCAGAGCAGCAGAACTTGGACTAGAATCCTGGTCTCACTAAACAATAGCGTGGTTCAGAATGTTTCTGCTACAGCAAATTACCATCCAATTCGGGATTATTTATACACCTATTTAACACACAACAACCCTGTGCCAGGCTCTTCCTGGATGCTTTCCAACTACTTCATTTAACTGAAGACATTTTTAAAAATGAAAATAGCATATCAACTCAAGGCAAAACTTACACAATCACTATAATCAATTTTGGAAGGTGGGATTTTGTCATAAAAGAATTTCAGTAGAACACTTTGGATCAAGGGGCCATTCAAAGGTTGTGTACTCTTGGCAACATACCCTCCTGCCCAAAACTCAATTTGGAGTTGCTAGGCTGCTTATTAATTCAACACTTCTAACTACCCCTGTGCAGCTGAAGGTTTCCCTGTTTTCTTTCCTCTCTGGGTCCCGCAGCAGGAACAGAATCTCAGCTCTTTTCCTCTTTCGGCCTCACATCTTCTTGCTACTGGTCTCACCAACACCCACCCTTGCCCTTCCAGTTAAGAACAGACAGACACAAAGCACCGGAAGTCTTATAACCAGCTTCATTGAGAGTGAGAGCTGCTTTCTCAGCAGTGTGTGTGGGAAAGGCATCAGTGCCCTGAGAACCTGAAGCCTCTCCCACACTATGGGCTCCCCACTGCATTCTGGGAAGCTCGGGATTTCATGGAGGTCTTCGTCCGAGCCTTCCCCCGCCCGCTGCAAGACGACCCTGCTTTATCCGCTGTTGGTGTCTGGACGGTGCGTCTGGCCGGCTTCTAGGGCTCCTGCTGCTTCTCTTCCCTAACCTTGGAGCCCGACCTCTTCCGGCCTCTGGACTCAGGCCTGGCGTCCTCCCTTGCTCGGGCCTCCGCCCTCCTGGCGCTGGCCCTGGCCCTGGCCTCCCTGGCCCTCCTGGCCCTGGTCGCCTTGGTGTTCAGCCGCACACCGCGCCTCCACATCTCCCGCGCCTTCCTGGCCGCCTGGCGAGGCAGAGGCCTCCTCCGCGTGCTCCGGGACCTCGCTGCTCTCCCCCTCGCAGGGCCGCCGGCCTCCT